TACATTTAAAGTCACTATTGGGTTGACATCCTTGTTGTTCTTGATTTTTCTCCTCTTCACTTGTCTGATACTGCCAAATCTTCATTTGTTGGTGACTTCGCCTCAACTCTGAGCAGACATCTCTTGTATGAGCTTCGTGAAATTCTGCAGCCTTTACTCCACTTGTAGTTCTACTTTGTGATCAATTTGCTTTGAATTGTAGATGTTTGACCAACCAATACACTGACAGAAGAGCAGGGATAGAAGTTAGCTCAAACCAGAAGGGCTGGATGGAGACTAATTGTTGTAAGCAGTCACGTCATAGGTGATTATTTTCCTCTTACAACAGCTCTGTTTTCCTGCCCGATCAGTGGCCACAGGGACTGAGGAACTCAATACAGAGTGTTGGAGGAGCCTCTTACCCAGATATCAGGAGTCAAAGAGAGCTTCCCAAATCTGAGACCGACATAGGTTTAGGAAATAGTCAGGCAGGAAGAGTGTTCCAGGCACAGACTTAAAAAAAAACAGTTGCCATCAAATCTACTCTGACTCAGGGCGACCCATGTGTGTCAGAGTAAAAACTGTGCTCCGTGCTTCGTAGGGTTCTCAATCACTGATTTTTTGGAAGTAGCTTATCAGACCTTTTATTTACTTATTTGTAGAGACACCTTTGGCTATACTCAAGCCACCAGCCCTTTGATTAATTGTTTGCACCACTTGGCATAGGGTTGTTGTTGCTAAGTGCTGTCTGAGTTGATTCCAACTCATAGCAACCCTATATAGAGTTTCCAAGGAGAGTCTGGTTTGTTTGAACCACCAGTCTTGTGGTTGGCAGTCCAGTGCTTACCCTACAGCACCACACTAGGACTATTAGCACAGGGTTAGTGTTTGTATGTACATCGGTTACAGAGGAGACTGAGCCTTTGAGAGATGAAATAACTTTTTCAAGATTTCACAGCTAGTAAGTAGCAGAGCTGAGATTCAACCAAGTGTTATTTTACTTAAGCCTGCATTCTCCTCAGTATATGCCATGGTGTTCTACTTTTAAAAATAGGTTTGCATTTGGGTTTATTTGTTATTTTTAATACTCAAGTTTTAAATACAGCATGCCTTAATCAAGGGATACTTTGTCAGCCAATGATTCTTAGGAAAATCTGCTGAGAGGAGATGAGAAAAGAAGGAATATTGCTCTAGTAGTTTTCAAGATGGAATTTCAAGAGATCCCCAGGCAGTAGAAATTGCCAGTATAAATGGAAAGATCCTATTCCATCTCTCTTTTCTTAGACTTCAACTCACCATCCCAGGCAGGAGTAGTAGCTCTTCTTTGAACTTAACTAAAAGACTCTAAATTGAGTTACTGAGAAAGAAAAGTGGAAGAGCATTTAAAAATTTGTAGAGCTTTTCTGTTATAATACTCATGACACTGATGTGAGATCTCACCAGACATACACTTAATTTACACCAGACCAGCCATCCATACATGTGTATATGCACACATACAAAACACTGACCGTCCATTCAGTGTGGAATGAGGTTAGAAAAGTGAATCCTCTGTCCTGTAGCTGGATTCAGTTCTTGAGTTCATCTTGAGAATGAGCAGCTCACCCAGCTGACAGATTTAAATATATCCATTTTTCATTTCACCGTGCCTACTAAACTCAGGTCAACTATTTTGTGTGCATACAAACTATGTTTGCTTTGGGACAACTGGAGGGCTTTGTAAGGGTGATTTTGACCCTAGGCTGTTTTACCATCTGCCTGACCTTGCATAAGGTACGAGGGTCCTGTGGCAGTGAGGCCTCATGGGTAAGAATTGTACTGGTGCTGCCTGCTGTCTTCTTCCATTTCAAACTTTGCCATGATCCACACTAAACAGAGACCCCTCAATATGACTGTCAGGCATAGGAATGAGAGACGACACCGAGACAAAGTTACCTGAGTCACAGTTTGGTGAGAGAAGCTCCGCTCCAGGCTAATACTTGGGAAACAACCTTTTCCTATTTTGACTACCAAAGTCCCTGCTGATTTGGTCATGGTAATCCTCCATTATATTTTTATAAATGAATCAATCTGAGCTCAGTGGGACAGTTGGGAAAGATTCCCAGCTTCTCCTACCCAGACTTACTCTTAGCCGTAAATGTGTGTCTTTTCCTGACTAGGACCATGGCCTCCCTGAGTACCAGGGTCATTTGTCATTTGTCATGTTGGCCCCAGCCTTGGACAGAGCCCAGCACAGTGAACCTCAGCAGCAAGGGGTCAAGTGATTGCACAAAGGTACCAATGGGAACAGGACCAGGATGTTTTGAACTCCTTTAGGTGTCCATGAGGAGCAGCGGAATGCTGTGTTTGTTTCCTGTCTTTGGATTGAGAAGTATTGTTTACTCAGTGATGACAGACAAGCACAAAATGGAGTGGAGGGTCTCCCTATCCTCACCTACAGCCTAGCAAGCAGCTCGAAGCTGTTGTGCCTGCACTAATGAAGTAGTACAGGAAACGCCACTGGATAAAGTTCAGCTGTGAACCCTGGCCTCCCAACAGGGAAAAACAGGGACGCTTTGAAGAAGAAGACAGCTGGATTTTGGTTTCAAAAACCTTAACGCTGCCATCACTAGACATTCATCTGTCAGTGCACAGGAGACAACATGTGGGGAACAGTTGTGTCCGGTCAAGCCAAAGAGAGAAAGAAATGGCTAATTTCCAGGGTAACTACAAACCCTCCTATGGCCTATGGTTCTGCTTAGTATAGCCAAAAAGAGTTGATGCAGTGAGTCTGAGTATGAGAATGCTTCGCTGCTTGCTGTGGGTCAGGCAGCATTGACCACATCAGGTGACAATGCTGAGGCTTGAAGCTCTGGACCCAAGATTTGTTGGTCAGTTGAATTTAGTTGTCCAAGCCCAAACTGCTTTTTAAATGATCAGAGAATCCAGGCTGCCCCAATTTACTTCATCAAGCGTTCCTAAAATGAGTTCAGCTTTGCTCTTATTTACTTAAGGCTCCTTTTTTGCAATGAGGAGCTTTCTCTTTCTGCTTATTTCCTTCCCTCCTGACTTTCAGTTGCTTAATTTAACCAGTGGTTATTTGTCTTGCAGGGGATAAAAATGTAATCCTTGGTCGAATTTGTTGACTAAATGTCCTCTAATCTGTGCCAAAGTTTCCTTCTAAGGGGGGTTTCTTGTTCCTACTATAATGGCTTTTAACTGGGCTGAGGTTTGTTTAACAGAATAGGAAGGGAGAAACTTATCTTTTCCCTAATCCCTCTTGAATGTTTACATTGCTCTGCCAAAGTAAATACCGGCTAAAGTGGCAGCAGTCATTTGCTCTGTAATAGTCAATATGCAGCTGCCAGAGCTGATGGAAACATATTAACATAAGTGATAATGCTGTCATAGAAGTGAAAAGTTAAGTTGCTTATCAGTGTATTTTGATAAGCTACTTAAATTTTACAGTAGCATATGCTGGCTTCAGACAGACATTAATGATAGAGTACCGTGCACTTTATCTGTCCTCTCTATTGCCTCTCACTTCATTTATTACCCTCAGCGGTACAGCTGGTAATCTGTACAGGGTGCTGATTTCCCTCTTTGTGGCAGGATGTACCCATACACCATCAGAGCTCGAAATCATGTCCAACTCTATCAGTAATGGACACCGTTCATTAGCTCAGTAAGGCAGGCGTGATTAGGATGGCAAACACTGGGCATGATAGCATTCTTCTCATGATGTACTTCTGGGAAAGTTTCTTATACAGAGCAAAGTCATTTCAAGTAAGCCACAGACTTATTGGTAGGGGGATAGATTTCTGCAACAGTTCTATAGTACTAATGTACCTCTGCTGTTCGTTTTCGTTTTATTTTATTTGCTCAGTGAACACCGAGCACTGATGGTGTGCCAGGCTTTGTGTTTGGTTCCAGGGAAGATGAAGCGAAGAAAGATTTGTGTGACCCTTCCTCTCAGCCTGTGCACATTCTGTTGGGAAAACAGATATGCCATTGAGTGCTACTTCGTGTGTGGAATGTTGTAACAGAATTATGCACGTGACCAGGGCTACCCGGAAGAGGGGGATTGAAGGCATATGAGCTGGAAATGGGAAAGTGTGGGGGAACTGTAAGGAAGATGAGTAGATATCAGCTTGACTAGACCCGGAAGGTCAGAGGAAGAAAAAGAGCCGCGAGTTTCTGCAGGGCCAGAAAGGCCCGTGGAGGCTTGGACATTTGCAGAGTGGCTACGATGAGAGCCGGGCTCAGAGGTGGGAGTAGAAAGGGCAGCTAGTACAGATATGGTGATCAAGGGGACCTGACCATGAAGAGCCTTGAATGCTATTCTCAGTGTGGACTTGATCCTGTAGAGATAGGGCATCACTGCAGGTATTTAATTCAGAGTGTAACTTAGATTTGCATTTGAGAAAGACCATTCTAAGAGTCAAACAGAGGATAAGATCATTAGCCAGACTGTTGCCAGCGTTAAAGGGCCTGATGAGCAGGACCTGACAGAGGGCAGTGGGGACAAAGAGAGTTCATCCTGCAGGAAGTATAGAGGGCATGCATTATAGGTAGGAGTCTGATACAACCACAAGAATGGTTTCAGACTCCTGGGGCCATCATGGACACCCTACATATACCAGCAGTGTTAAGTGCTGTGTATGTGGCTGTTGTGTGTCCAGTTGTGAGAAATTTGAATAGAAACTTTCCTGGCTAGGGTAGGTGTGATAGAGAGTCCTAGGGGGCTATTCAGAGATAGTTTTTGATGACAGAGTCTATTTTGAATTTCTTCTCTATGAATCTATTCTAGCTCTGAGGCATGGGAATAATTTATAATGGACATTCAATCCTCTCCCAGGCAAATTTTTTTAAACCCCAGCAATAATTAGCATTTCATCAGTCTGTGTTTCCAGCACTGTCTATGACATGAAGACTCTTCAGGATATAGAGAAAACCTGACATGTGCCAGTCTTGAATTAGCTCCTGGTTATGTTTTTAGACCTGCATACTAATATTTTGTGTGTTCCCTCTTCTTCCCCCAGCTATCTTCCTTGGTTTGAAGTCTTTTATAAGCTACTCAACATCTTGGCAGATTATACAACAAAAGGACAGGTATTTGCCTTTTATTCATTTTCACAAGTAAATGTTAATTTTATTTATGATTGTAAAAGTCAAACATGCTTTATATGTCACCAGAAAGTTTACCAAGAAGGTAATCCATTCCCATTATATAAATTTGGGAGATTAGAAAATAGAAGGAAGTAAAAGGCAGTCACTCCTACTCTGGCCCTAACCCTCCTTCCTAAAATAAATACTGTCAGCATTCTGGGCTATTTTCTGTCTTCATTTTTCCTTTAGTTAAATAAATAATAACTAGACCCTTAGCATTCTCAGAGTTAATATTCACTGTTTCTAATATTCCCAAGCAGCCCGGAAAGCTCTTGATGTGTGTTAAATTAAAATTTTGCTGTGGTCCGCTCTTGGATTGCTCATATTATGTCACAGAGCTGGGATTTAGGAGTAAATCACTTCACTGGCAGTGATGTAGCCAGTTGTCCTGAGTTCTCATTGTAATAAAACTTTGTTATGCTGTACTAATAGTCATTTTTGCAACATTCTGAAATTTACTTTGAAAGTTAAACTATACCCAACTGAGCTTCTGGAAGAAACAAGATGCTAAATTATCCTTCTGGATCCCAAAGGGCAATTGGAGTAAACTTTTGTAGCCTGCATCTTTCAGGTACCATTGTAACAGAGGGATTACTCCCTGGTTATTAAAAACATTGCCAGGAAGTACCAATCCCTGGAGAAGAACATCATGCTTGGTAAAGTGGAGGGTCAGTGAAAAAGAGGAAAACATGTCAACAACAATTGTCAGGCTAGAACAAGACTGGGCAATGTTTCACTCGGTTGTATATAGGGAACCGACTCAGTAACACCAGCATTGAAAATAGTCTTCATGACTGAGTAACATTTTATTATGGATCTAGATTGCTGAAATACTTCTCTAATGTTAGAATTTCTAATTATTTAGGGTTTCTTTTCATTACTTAAAGCAATAAAGCCATAACATCACTAAGCATAAAGCATTTTTCTTTATTTCGGATTCTTTCCTGAAGAAACAAATTCCAGGTGAGACACTTAAGGTCAGTGGATTTTTAAAACATTTGCCAACCTGCTTTCCAAAAGAATTGTTCTGTTTTCTTCTGGATGCCTTTTACCAGCAATGTCTAGAGTACCAGCTTCACCAGTATCTTTTACTTAACTCATTGCTTATTTGACAAGTAAAAATCTCAGTGTCCCAGTGGCATTTCTTTGATTATTAATGAGTTAATATTTGTTCATATATTTTGCTTCATCCATTAACTTTTTGCAAGTGGCCTACATTTTGTTCATCTTTAAGTGATTCATCATTATTAAACATTAGAGATGTTCCCCCTGTGGCCTTTAAAAAAAAAAGAAAGAACAACATTAATCCATAAAAAGGGTGGTACCATAGTTGACTAATGTTTGGGGGTGGGGTGTAAAAGAGCTTTGTTTCATATTTGTTTCCTTAACCAAATCCAGTGTCATCAAAATGATTCTAACTCATAGCATCCCTAAGTAGGGTTCTGAGGCTATAAATTTTCACAAGAGTAGCCAGCCTCATCTTTCTCCTGTTTATCTTCTTTGGATATCTCAGAATATTAGTATTTATTATGGACTAAGTAAGGGTTTGGGCTTAAATGAGATGGGAAACACTGAGTAACACAGATTACCCCACTGTAAAATGTACCAGATTCTATTCTATTCTATTTATTGTACTTTATTCTAAATTTATTTCCTCAGGATTTCATATAAGATCTGGGAAGTCCTGCAGTGAAGTAACCTGTGTTATTCAGTACTTCCCATTTCATTTGACTCCAAAACCTTTTTTAATCTACAGTAAATGTTCATATTCTGAGATACTAGTGTCTGGGCTAATCTACTTTGGGGAAATGCTGTTTTAGAGAAAAGGTAGAAATTGTGTGTCTAATGGATAGATCTTTCTCACAAGTTCTATTTAATCACTGACAAATGTATTCCAGAGGCCATAGTAACTGGGCTGAATAACTAATAGGAATGGCTCCCTAGGTCACTAAGCTCACTCAGAAAGGATGCTTAGGTATCAGGGAATTCCATCATAAAAGAAGGGATTTGCTCTTTAATGAATGAGTTGGAAGTCACCTTGGATCTGTTCATCGATTTCTGATCCACAGTTCACTTTAGTCAAACATTCAGGTTTTCACTCATATTTCAAAGAGGTCTTTAATAAATGGAATCAGATAACATGTAGACGCTTAACCATTTTAAAATTGGAGGTTGACCCATGTATTTTTCTCTATATTTATGATCCAGTCAGTAGGAAAACAACAACAAACACATCAGTACAGTTAAAAATATATTATCTTGGGATACAGGAAAAGCTGAGTAAGTACAGCCTAAACCTAGGACAGACAGTCTGGCCCTGAAATTGGTCCTTGCTTCAGCAGGGATCTTACCTCTCAGTGTGCTGGAGACAGAGATCAGTAGTGTGTTTTAGTGGTTATCTATTTCCCCTGAGCCCAGAACCCTTTTGATTCAGTTTCTCCTGGTTAAAGGTAATAGGGAGTTTGCCTACAATTACTTCATGATTTACAAGGTATTGGTCATCAGACTAGAGCCAGAGGCATGAACTTTTATTGAAAAACAAAACTCCCTCCCTGAGTCCAAAAGTCTTTGGACGGTTGGATAGATAACTCCAGTTTTGGGATTTTTTGAGGGGAGAGGGAAGGTGGTTACCACAATGGCCCAGTGTGAGCTGGTCAGAGTCTGAGCTGAGTGATGAGGGTGTTTGTGTAGGACATTGATCTAAGGTGGTGGGGGTTGTTTTTAAGTGCCATTGAGTTGGTTCCGACCCGTAACGAACCCGTATAGGGTTTCCGAGGAACAGCTGGTGAGCTTGAACAACTGCTGACCTTGTGGTTCAAACCAACTTTGCAGTCCAGCTCATTAACCTACATGAAAGCCTAAATAGGACAGTGTGAACATCCTCTTGAAGGGGCTGGTGAGGAAGGCATCTGAGCCAGAGAACAGCCTGTCCTAGAGTAGGGGAGCCTGAATGAGAAGAGAAAGTGTTTGTGCTGTAAAGTGATGGCAGCGGCTTGGCACTGGGTGTCAGAGGTCCAGTGGAATCTAGAGGGCATCCACACGGGAAGAGAGGCCACAGAAGTGACCCTTGCTAGGGTATTGGAGTCTGAGGTGGGAAGGGCATTTATGTGTGGCGATGGGTAGCAGCAGCCCAGCACTGGGTTTCAGTGTCCAAGCTATGCAAGGAGGGTATCCAGATAAGGAAGCAGGCAAGGACAGACAGAAGTTTGGTCTTTACAAAGAATTGAAAAATTTAGAAAATAGAGGCAAGATTTTTCACTGTCATAGAAAAAGTAGTTGTGTACTGTCAAGTCGATTTTGACTCATAGTGGCCTTGTAGAACAGAGTAGAACTGCCCCATAGGGATGTTTTTTTTGTTGTGAATTATGTGATAGTTTACATGGGAGAACATTAGTTTTACATTCATCCTATCATATATTATTTCATTGCCATGGTTACAATCCCCTCCATGCATCATCAACCAAACAAAGGGTATACTCTGCAAGCCTGACTCCTGGTTGTCAGCACACAGCCCCTCTCCCTCTCTGGGTCTAAAGTCCCCAGCTGTTCCATCTCTCCACATCATCATCTCTACCTCCATCTCTGGTGTCACTGCTTCTCTGGGTAGGGTCCCGCTCTCCGGTCTTCTCCCTTGATGGTCCCAGGGACCTCCGCTCCTAGACTGCAAAGTCAGTCACTTCCCTCCTTGCTACAAAATGTCTACCTTTACATTTCCAACCCTCACAATCAGTCCTGATAACAATTATTCACCATTGTATCACAAGAGACCTATCCACATTTCCTTTCATCAGCCCCACGTAGACATATTGGATACTACTCAGTGGAGATTCTACCTTCCTCCATGCCCTCTGGATCTAGGTTCCCTCTTGAAAGCTTGTAAGCCAGTCACTTCTTGCCTTTGTAGCCTCCCCCCCACACCCCACCCCACTTTGGGTAGCCAACGTCCAAGTTGCCCATGCCTGTCTACTCTGTGTATGGAGAGGATTGGAACAAGCCTTGCTATAAAGATACATTCCCTCTTTTGAGCTACTGCATCCATAAGTGTAGGTCAACTTCATCAAATTGTATCAGATTACTCTTTTTTTTCCTCTTCATTCTTCTTGTAGTTGAGCTCTGATCATCCAGTCATAGAAGCCAGGTTAAGTGGGTGTTATCTGCAAGTGTGGGTGTTCTTGTACATATGCCCTCTCTTCTTATCAGCTGGACTCTTCACTCTCCACTCTAGTCCTCTGTGGCTATGTCACTGACTCTGGGCCCAAGAGTCCCCAGATCTTGTCACAGTGCTGGCCAACCAGGTCTCCACCCAGTTTACCAGGAGCCTATTGAGCATTGTAGGGTTTAGTTCGCAGCTTCATTGCTGTTTTTCCCTTACTTCCCCTTATGGGTGACCAACGTGGTCACCAATCAGAGCATGTATTCCCATTGAGTCTTGTCTTGAAAGGGGTTTTGCTCTGAGGGAACCCTACCACTTGCCTTGATGTCTCCTGGGCAAGCAACTTGCTTGTTCTTGTTGTAATCAGTCAGTCTGCCTATATTGTTTTGTAGTTTTCCTGTCAGTATTTCTTTCAGGAAGTATCTTCTGTTCTTGTAGCCACTCCAGGCTGATCTGCTTGTCCTTTCAATTGGACATTTCCCACTTCTGAAGATTCTGGATGCTGTTCAGGATTCCACCCCATAGGGTTTTTTAGGCTGTAATCTTTATGGGAGCAGATTGCCAGATCTCTTTCAAATATATAAATGGAGGACAGTAGAATAATTCCTATGGTGGATTGTAGTTGGAACTATCAGTGTGAACACCTGGCTTTTAATACTCATATGCCTCCTGGCTTCACCCCCAGAAAGAGCCTGGATCAGCAAGTACTCAAGCAGCAATGAATATATCTAGTACTATGACCTTGGCTTCTAAAATCCAGTCTCCACTAAAAGGAACCAAGATATCTCAAAGAACTGGCTGATTTCAGGACTAGGGCAGAGACAGTAGAAGATGAGCCCAGAATAGCTCTTTGTACCCAAAAGGAAAAAAGTGCTCAAAACATGATGGGGACATGTCAGAAGGACAACAAAGTGAGTGTAAAGGAGCAAAGGGACTCCTACTGGTCCTATCTGGGCTAATAGCAAAGTATTATAACCCATTGGATAAAATAGAAAACCATGTGCCATACACACACACACACACACAGAAAGAGTCAATGGATAAGTTGGAAGTTTGATGGGAAATAGGATATTTACATAAACTTGTCTGTTTGCAAAATATTATTAAATACAAGGGAAAGATAATTAACCCCACATTGGAGACATTGGGTGAATTAATAAAGTGATCAAAGTGAGCAGCTTCATTAAAGGGACAAATTGACATCTGAATATGAGAAAACATCAGGCACATGAGAGAAGCATTCTACAGAATGGCTGGTCTAACTGTCAAGGCTGGACAGGTCTAGGAAATTCTGAGAGACTGTTCCAGACTGAAGAAGACTCTAGAGTCATGATAACTTAAGGCAACATGTAATTCTGAACTGAATTATTTTTCTATGAAGGACATTATTATCACAGTTGGCAAAACTAGAATGGCATCTGAGGATGAGATGATAATGTTCTATCAATGTCAATTTTCAAATTTTGATGATTAATTATTGTTATGTCTTTGTATGGATGATGGAGCGTAACTCATTCTCAAATTGTTCAGGAAAAAAATTTTTTAAAGTTATTTTGTACTGTTCCTATAATTGCCCTGTAAGTTTTAGAGTGAAATAGCACACATACACATGCTCACACACACACACACACACACACACACACACACACACACACACGAGAGGTCTTCAAAAAGTTTGTGGAAAATGGAATTGAAAGATAAAAAATTATAAACTTTTTTACTCAACATAAACTTCATCACAATCAAGACACTTTTATAAGTGATAATACCAGCCATTTAGTCCATCCCTAAAGAACTGGGAGTCCTAGGAGTTTAGCTATGTCAGTGCAGTCTTTTTTATGTTATTAACTGAGGAAAAATGAGGGCTCTTTAAGGATTAAAGATTGTTGTTTGTCGTTAAGTGCTGGCGAGTCAATTCCAACTCATAGCAATCCAATGTAAGGTTTCCAAGGAGCAGCTATGGTTTGAACCGCCGGGCCTTGCAGTTTGCAGCCCAGTACTTATCTTACATTGCCACGCCAGGGTTCCTTTTTAAGATTAGTTAACAAAAAGAAGTCAGAAGACACCAAATCAGAATTATAAGGTGGATGCCTAATGGTTTTCCACGATGGGAAAGAGCAGGAACATCGTTGTGGTGAAGGATTCTCAGGTGAAGCTTTCCCCAGTGTTTTCCTGCTAAAACTTGGGCTAACTTCTGCAAAACACTTTCCTCATAAGCAGATGTTATCGTCCTTTGACCCTCCAGAAAATCAATAAATTTAATGCCTTGAACATCCCAAAACATTGGTGCCATGACCTTTGATCATAACTGGTCTACTTTTGCTTTTAACTAGATCATTTCTAGTTTCAGGATTGTATTAGCAAAGCCATGTTTCATCTCCTGTTACAGAGCTTTAAAGAAATGCTTTAGGATATTGATCCCATTTGTTTAAAATTTTCCATTGAAAGTTCTGCTCTTACCCATTAAGCAGAAAGTTTGCACAACTTTAATTTTTCAGTCAGAATCATGTACGCTGAACCAAGTGAGATATATATGTTGTTGTTGTTGTTGTTGTTGTTGTTGTTGTTGTTGTTGTTGTTGTTAGATGTCATCATGTCGGTACCAATTCATAGCATCCCTAGGCACAACAGAACAAAACACGGCCCAGTCCTGGGCTAACCTCACAACTGTTGCTATGCCTGAGCCCATCTCTGCCGCCACTGTACTTATCCATCTCATTGACTATTCTGCTATTAATGGTTAGCCTTTAACATTTAGATATGAACAAGATGCATTTTTTTCTTGCAAACTGATGTGGATGATCTGCCGATGCTGGCTTCATTTTCACCATCATCTCATTTCTTCTTAAAATGAGTTATCCATATGTAAACTGAAGGTTTCTTTGGAGCACTAACCCCCGGAACTTTTTGTAAAGCATCAGTGATTTCACCATTCTTCCACCCAAGCTTCACCACTGTTTTGGTGTTTGTTCTGCTTCCATTTTAGCAGAATTCATGTTGCTCTGATAGAGACCATTTTCAAACTGATGTTTATCCTTTGTACTTCAAACTAGACCCTGTTCCATATGTTATAACAAGGTAGTACAAATTCATTTAGGTGCAAAACAAAGATGGAAATCCGTGTTCATTTTTCATAGTACGAATTTTCCTTGAACTTTTTGAAGACTCCTCATAACACACTCATACGTATTTCTTTCCTCTGTGAGAATTTCACAGGGTGGGAGAAATCGTTTTTGAATAATTTTTGTGAGTGTTGTCCTTTTGAGCAATTTCAAAGGTGAATCCATTTTCAACCAAATAATTTATACTGCTTTGTGTGTCATTTTGTGGCCAACTCTAATTAAAATGCACAACCACCATCCTATAGTGTATGCTGCTGTATGTAGCTCATTTCTAACTTTCCATAATTGGAAGCTGCCATGTATATCAGTGAAGGCACAATAAAACTAATTGAGGGTAATGATGATGAAGACAAGATCTAGAGTCATCTTTATTTCTCCCAACCACCCCACTCCTTATCTAGGATTGTTGCATTTGAAAGTTGTTGCTATGGAGTTGAGCTGAGAGATTATGGTATATGATACATAAAGGCAGTCATGGTGTAGGTATCTTACTGAGTAGAAAATGTCAAACATGTTGTGGGAGGATCTATTTGGCTCTTACGTTTAAGCCATAAGTGGTGTCTTTTGTCCAACCCTACTTGAGTATCAAACCTAGTTCTGTAAAGGGACCTGCATCTCTGCAGTCCCCTCAGACATGAGGGCCCCCAGCTTGCTGTGGGCTCAGCCCTACCTGCTGGTCCTCTTTGCTTTTGTGACTTCTACTTTTTATTTCTTTCAGGAGAGCCAGTGGAATGAGCTTCTTGAAACTCTGCACAAACTTCCCATCCCTGACCCCGGAGCGTCTGTTCATCTCAGTGTGGTAAGTGGGATAGAATACTAATGTTTACTGAAACCATTTCACTATTAACAGTAAGAGGTAGATAGTGAAGTAGGATGGTATTTCATTGTATACACCATTTCTACCCTATCCCAGAGTACTCTGAGACCTCTGGGCTCAATATAGGCCAAGGAATTGAATGGTTCCCAAACACCCCAACATCTCTCTTCCTGGCTGTCACCCATCACTAGTATCTCCTGGATCATAGATGCTGGACATGAAATGAGATGGCTGTGTCCCCCACCATCTCCTCTCCCTGCCCCTCAACCTGCCACTTCATCCTGGGGCTCCCTACCATACCCTTTGTCCCCAGGAATGCTATGTATGCTTCCCCCTGCACTGAAGCCATCCTGCTCCTTGGACCCTCAATGCCACCTCTCCTTATTTACCAGGGTAACCCATATTCACCCTTCAGGATAACACTCAGACTTTGTTACCAGAGAAATCTTCAACTCGATACCCCAAAGGCAAAGCTAAGGTTTTCTCCTTTGCCCCTAAGAATTGTGTAGATTTTACAGTACTTATTGGTACTGTGGGTTAATGCACTGGACTGCAAAGTTGGTTTGAACCTCAAGGTTGGCAGTTCAAGCTCATCAGCCACTCCTCGGAAACCCTAAACAGGGTTGCTATGAGTCGGAACCATCTTAATGGCATTTAACAACAACAAGTCACACCACTTGGAATGATGTTTTCCTTCTCTGCCTTTCTTACAACGCTGTGTGCCCCTTGAGGGCAGGGATGGAGAATGTCTAACAGGTCCTGGCCTCTAGAAATAATAGTTTCTTTGAACTGTTTTAAGTATGTGCTCTATGTTCTGCAGTGTGTGAGGGTTAAAAATCCTTTGCATTACAGTTTGGAGACTTATATCCTAGTCATAGTTTTGCCAGTGGCCTGAATGATCATAATCAAGACCTTTAACTTCATAGGCCTCAGTTTTGTTATCTGTTACTGTAGGCATCAGAAGAGGTAAAAGAGGTCTTTTTTATATTTCAGTTTCTGAGATATTCTGATTTTCCTAGATTAAACATTTGTTTCTACCTTCCTCAGAATTATCAAGTGGATACCCTTTTATTGATTACACTGTGTATTTCCCCTGTGATGTGAGGTTTAGAAATTTAAAAAGTTTTGTCATTTTAGCTTCTCTAGAACCAAGTACAGTTTTGGAATTTTGTGATTATTGTTGTATCTGCTGCCCTATAGAAAATGAATAATTCTGACAGGTTTTTTCCCCATGATGGAAATCAAATTTAAAACGGTATTACTACCAATACGTAATAATAAACCTACAATTCATTAGGTTTTTAATGTATGCCAAGTTATATGTGTTTCTAATGTTCAAAATAACTCTGCAAAATTAGTCATATTCTCATTTCATAGATGAGGAAATAAAGGTTTAGAGAGGAAAACTACTTGCCCATTTAAGATCTGAGTGTTTATAAGTGAAAAGATAGGGGTTTTCAAAGCCAGGGCTAACTTCAAAGTCCATGTTTCTTTCCACTATGCCATGTGTGTAAAAAAGAAAAACAAGAAAATAAAAAATAAAAAGACACCTTTCCAGGAGGTTTTTGTCCATTTTAGCTGAGCATAGCTAGGAAAGGGACCTTGCTCCTAAACAGAAATTCCCGTAAGGAGGATGGTCTAGAAAAAAAGAACAGAAGAGCTTTAAACCAGCCTCCATTTTGCTGTCTAGCTAAACAACCCTGCCTTTGTCTCTGTCCCTTTCACTAAGCAGTGTGATCTCGCCGCTTCAGAATGTAATGACATCCGACAGGTAGTGGTGGGAGTCCTGGCTGGGTCAGCTGCTGCTGAGGAAGAGCTCCCCTGAATGGCTGCACAAGCAGAGCGCCTGCCAGGCCTCAAGGACATGCCTTCTCAGGGGCCAGAGTAGCTGTTTGGGTGGTGCAGCAGTTTCATGCCAGTGGTTTCTAGGAATGTTTCTGACCTCCCTTGGTCCCTAGCATTTCATGGGCGATGGAGCAAGACAGAATCTCAAAGGACAGCCTGGGGTTTTGGAATTGCATTGGCTTACTCTTTACAATCCATGCGATCTGTAAAAGCAGATATTTTTTGTTTCCTGTTCATTGGGAATTTCTCTTTTCCGTATTTTATTTCTGATTCTGAAGGGCTAGTCTCATCTGATTATGAATCCTACAATGTTGATAAAATGGCAGTCCTGGACTTTGTGTCTTTATTCCCTCTCAACAAAAGACTATATCTATATATCTGATGTAGATGTTGAGAAAAACATAAATGTAGAATTGCCGTTGAGAGCAATGATAAAATTTTTATATCAAAATTTATTGAATGCTATATACTTCACATACATAATAACACTTATTCTTAGCAATGGTTTTGAAGTAGGTTCTGGACTTTTAAGTTGCCCAGGATAACATAGCTATTAAGTGGCCAACTTTGTGGTCCATCTTCTTTCTCCCTTGTTGTGTAAAACCATTGCTTTATGATTCCATCACTGTGGGGAGATCCCTTACTGGCCATTTCCTGGGACTCTCTGCTAGTCATTTGAGACAGAAATTAATCTCTCATGGAATCAAATTCAAGCCTTGTAATTTACTTTTCTTATTTTCATCCTCATTGCTAAATTGAATTAATTATTAACTGGTTTCTGATTCCTGGTGTGGTGCTATGTAGGTTAAGCACTTAACCGTAAGGTTGTTTTAAACCGAAAGGTCAGTGGTTCATTCTCACCAGCCACTCCTCACAGGGTCGCTATGAGTTGGAACCAACTCGACGGCACTTAATAACACACGGCACTTAATAACACTTTCTAGGTAATAGCTTGGTGTAGGCACACAGATTATGGAATAATGTAAAGCTTTTCTTTAATGTTATCTCTCTTTTTTTGCTTTTTATTATTTAGGTTATTATTTTGATTCAGGTGACTAGCTGTCATTTGCATGCTGGGAACATAGATACTGCAGTGTGTTATAGTGGAGAGAGCATAGCTTTGTAGGGATAGAGATCTTATTTCAATCCTAGTTTTGCTACCTACTGAGTATGCAACTTTAGACAAATTAATTTACTTCTCTGAGCTTTGCTTTTCCCATTTGTGATGAGGAGATGATGTCTATCTTAAAACTTGTGGTGGAGATTAAAAATAATATTTGTAAAGTGGCTGGCATAAAGGCAGCCATGTAGCAGGTATTCAGTAAATATCTGTTGAACACTAGACAAGTAGCTCATACTATTATTGTTATTGCCATTATTTATCATTGTCCCCTGGGTCTTTCATTTTAGGAAGTCCATACAACTCATTCTTCTAGAGACTTACTTTGCAATTATCTAAGAATAAGGGCAGGGTTGGGGGTGGGGGTGGAGGCTTCCTGAAATGTCACTTGGAGGTCCAGGTTTGAACTTAGGCCATGGCTTAGCTGACCTTCTCTGCATGTGACCTTCCCTGGCCTTTGCACAATTCTGTCTTTAATTGGCCAACACCAGGCTTTTTCCATTCCTGCTTGCCATTGTCCTCTGAGTCTTTAAGCAGCAGAAGAGGTGTCATCAGTTCAGCTGTTGTCATTTAACTCAGGGATGCATGCTTGTTAGATACATGGAGATGTCTCATTGAAAGTTCTTTGAACAGGTCAAAAATTTAACTCCACAAAGTTTCCAGCTCCTTTCATTGGAGATGCCTGTAGAAGCCAGGAGTCTTTATTTGATGATCTTGCATAGTGAGCAGAGTTTCTCCACTGTTAGTCATCTGTAGTGGTTTCTGTCCAGCAGTCCTTCAGCTGGTGCTGTACTTAACGTCGCTCGGGCCTCTGAGGCTGATTTTGGCCTCAGCCTGTGGAAGGATATAGTCTCAGATGAAATGAAATGGCAGATTTGGTTGGGATAGATCACTGCTGAGTGAGCCTACTGATGTTTGGTCCCTAGAGTCCACTTACCTCACTGAATAATAAATATCATGTCTGAATGTTTCATGTGTTCAGAAACCAGCAAACATTGTATGGGAGTTTAGCTTTAAACCTCTTTTGAGTTCTTGATGTATATCTCTCCAAGAAGTTCATCTCTCAATGAAAAAAACTCCATCTCTCCAAACTGACAATTTAATGCATTTAGCTTTAACCAAACTTTATCCATAGAAAATATTCCATGGGATTTACTCGAGTGAAACAGCGTTTCTTCATCTTAGTAAGGAAGTATCTTCACATCATTTATCTGAATTTTGAGTAATGTGCTTGTTGTATATTTTTTTGTCTAAAAAAATAAAATAAGCAGATTTTGCTTCTTTTTCAGCATTCTTATTTTACTGTGCCTGATTCCAGAGAACTTCCCAGCATACCTGAGAATGTGAGTACTTTGGGGAAGATGAAGTTAAGTTTTTCCTCTTCTTTGCTGCTGAAAGATTTTATTTGTTAATTATAAAAACAATGCATTAATTATATAAGCAAAAGCAAAAGTAGAGACTATATAAAAAGTATAGAAAAATAAAAAGGCAAGAAGAGACTCAAAGACTTCTCAAAGGTGACAGTACAGTTTCCATGCCTCATTCCAACCTTTCCAGAGATACAGTTATAATTATCTGTTGCAAAAGCATACTCCATTTTCATTCATAAGAATCCTTTGTGTAGATTGTACAGTATTCAATTTGTTATGTAATTTACTTAACCATTCCCCCACTGTTGTACATTTAGATAGTTTTTCCTGTTTACTGTTGTAAACTAAATGTTTCTATGTAAAGAATTTTCCATATAAAGTTGCTTCATTACGATGGATTTACTCAAGTAGAATTAACAGTGCATATTCATTTTGAAAAGCAACCCAAAAGAAATAAAAGTATTGGGGGTTTAAGTGTGAGAACCCTACCTCTACCTCTTAAAGACAGGAGCGGTAAAACAAGAGTCTGAGAGAACAGAAGGTTAATGTTTGCCCTCCAAATAAGCTGAATGACATACCTTCCTCACCTTATTACACTTCACAGTACTTTGCACTGATGATAAATAGTGCTATATAGAATTGAAAATAGTGTAACTACTAATTAGCCATGGACTCCTGGTGTGACGCTGTGGGCTAATGCGCTGGACTGCAAGGTCAGTTTGAACCACAAGGTCAACAGTTCAGACTCACCAGCTGCTCCTTGGAAACCCCATACAGGATAGCTACAAGTTGGAACCTACTCAGCGGCACTTAATGACAACATACTACTTAGCTGTTCCTTGGAAACCCTGTACAGGGCAGTTACAAGATGGAACCGATTCCATGGCACACAATAACAACACCACCAACACTACTTAAACAACTGATTACCTTTTTAAAAGTTTGGAACAAGTGATAATTTCTCCAGATCTAGTACAGATTCACAGAAAGGAAAGTCTTCTAAGTTTTGTCCTTAGATCAAGCAAATTACAAATGTCAAGTAACCAAATCTAATTAATGAAGTTAGACTGGAGTATTGTGATTAGAAATCAGTCTTAAATATATCAAGTATATTCATAGAATTTATTATCTGTATGAGGAAGCTGTTGTGGTAAATGTTGCTTCCTTTCTTTGACGTTAAGTAATAAAAAGTTTATATCACAATTTCTGTTTCAACAATAATTGCTAAGGTTTGTTAAGTACTACTGTGTTCAGTGCTTTATAGAATTTGCGTATCCCTCTTATCAAGCTTGGGGGATGGTGGTGTTATGTGCCATCGAGTCGGTTCTGGCTCCTGGCGATCCTGTGTAATGGTTTCCCAGGAACAGCTGGTTCAAGCCGACTTTACAGTCCAGCACATTAACCCACGGCGTCACACCAGGACCCCTTCAAGCCTAGGTAGTAACTACTACAGTTAGTCTCATTTTGCATAAGGAACGAGTTGTTGTTGTTAAGTGCTGTAGAGTTAGTTCTGACTCATAGTGACCCTTTATAGGGTTTCCAAGGAGTTGCTCATAGGTTTGAATCACCAACCTTGCAGTTAGCAGTTCCATGTTTGCCCTAAAACACCACACCAAGACTCCTAAGAACGAGAGACCCTGACAACATATTCAAGATCCTACAGCAAAGAAGTGGTAGAATTTGAATTCATACATCGGGCTCTCTGATTCTAGAAATTGAGCTCCATACTTCATACTTTCAGCCATATACTTATCTCTCATCACTCTAAAAATTCCATCGAAATGATACACGAAATATAAAAATTAAAAATAAAGAGACACCTAATTAGAAAAGAGCACTGGTAGCATAGTTGTTAAAACCCAGGCTGCTAATCTCAAGGTCAGCAGTTCGAAACTACCAGCTGTTCCACAGGAGAAAGATGGGGCTTTCTGCTCCCGTAAAGATATACAGCCTCAGAAACCCTCAGTTCTCTATGAAGCGGAACTAACTCCATGGCACACCACCACCACTACCACCACCACAGCAAAGAAGTGGTAGAATTCTAATTCAAACATTTGTCTATCTAATTCTAGAGATTGAGCTCTGTACTTACACTTTGAGTCATACATTTATCTCTTATCATTATAAAAATTCCATCAAAATAATACACGAAATATAAAAATAAAAAACAAAGAGACACTTAATTAGAGGAAAGCTCTGGTAGTGTAGTTGTTACAAGCTGAGCTGCTAATCTGAAGGTCAGCAGTTTAAAATTACCAGGAGAAAAATGAGGCTTTCTACTCCTGTAAAAGCTTACAGTCTGGGAAACCCTATACAGGGTCGCTATGAGTCGGACCCTACTCCACAGCACATAACCACCACCACCAAATAGAAGAGAAAGTTACTATGAACCAGAAAATTTAAGGTATTGCGGACATGAAGCATCTAATCATTGATACATTATAGACAATGGAAGAATCTTAAAAGAACCCAGAAATCCCGAGGAAAATACAGAAGTAGGTTCATACAATAGTGCAATAGCAAAAGACTAATTGAAAAACGATTTTCAAATGTGTTGGAACATTAATAAAAATTGATTATACACTAGTCATACTGGAAATAACAAAGGAAAAGGCTACTGTCTTTTATTGCAATATAACAATACAATAAATTAGCAATAAATAAATTAATAAAGGTCTAAAAGTATTCATCTACTTGAAAGAGTGGTTGGGTCAAAGAGGATTAAAAAAAGTTTGAAATGGGCATTATTTTAAAATGAATGACAATTAGCAAAAAAAAATTTAAAAAGCTAAGAGGTTTCACCAAAATTATACTTATGGGGAAATTCATAGCTTTGACTGCATTTATTGTACATTAAAAATATGGGAAATAATTTGACTTTCATTGCAAGAAACTAGAAAAGTATAGCAATATCAAAAAAGCCAAGGCTAGAAAAATAAATTACAATTTGATGAATTACAAAATTGTTAGTTTTCTTAAAACTGTTCAACCAGTAGTTAATGTTTACATTTGAATGACCATGCTGTATCAGGGAATAGATTATGATTGCATTTCATTTCTCGTACAACTTTTTTGTCACATAAGAGTCCCTAGATTTAATGTCTTGCTCTTTCTTGATTTTACTATATCTTTTTTTTTTTTTTTTGTAACTATATCATTTTGATAAAACATTCTATAGTAGTTTCCTGAGAAAGTAAACATTGGAAGCAATTATTTTGGACCTTACATAACTGAAAATTACTTTAATCTATTTTTATTCTTAATTGATAGTTTGACGGGGTTTGAAATCATTGGTTGGAAGTCATCTTTTGAAGACATTGCTCCCTTGACTTCTAATATTCCTCTTGCGACTGAAAAGTCGTAGCCATTCTGAGCCCTGATTCTATTAGTAGTCTTAGCTTGTCTCTGGTATACTGAAATTAGCAGCCCTGGTGGTGCAGTGGTAAAGCTCTTAACTAATAACAAGAAGATAGGCAGTCCGAACCCACCAGGCACTCCTTGGGTTAAAGCTGTGGCAATCTCCCATAGAGATTACAACCTTGGAATCCTCATGGGGCAGTTCTTTGTCTTATATTGTCACTAAGAGTTGGAATCAATTTGATGGCAATGGGTTTGAATATTGAAATTATATAACAATGTGCCTTGCTATGTATCTGTGTTCATCTATTGTTTTGAACGTTAGTTGGACCCATTTAACCTGGGATTCCATGTTGTTTTATTAATAGGAAATATATTGTTTCTTTGAGAAATATCTTCCTTATGTTTTCTTTCTTTTTCTGGAACCTAAATTGTAGGACATTGATCTTTTAATTTTCATATCTTTTCTCTCCTATTTTCCATCTCTGTTTTCAATGTTCCTTTTACTACTTTACTCAAATGGTCTTTCTACCCTTTTGCATTTTTACATTTCTGCTGCTGTACTGTTTTTTTCCAAATGTTTTTTGTTGTCTGATAAAATTTACCTTTTTTAATGACATGCTGGACTTCTGGTGTGGCGCTCTAGGATCAGCATTGGTTTGCAAACCACAGGGTTGGCAGTTCAAACACACCAGCTGCTCCTTGGAAAGCCTATACTGGATTGCTATGAGACAGAACTGACTTGAAGGCACTTAACAATAACAACAACAATAACATGTTATTCTTATTTCAGAAGACCTGTAGTAGCATAGTTTCTTATGAGTTGGGCTGGTAACTGCAAGTTCAGAAGTTCAAATCTGCCAGATGCTCTGAGAGAAAACGATGAGGCTTTCTACTCTCATAAAGGCTTATAACCTTGGAAACCCTATATGAAGTAGCTATGAGTCAGAATCGACTCCACAGGACATAACCACTACCACTATTCTTGTTTCATAAATACGTCATTGGTCAAAAATGGAAGAGTCTAGTTGAAATTAAAAGTATAGAGCATCTATCAAGAGGCAAGGCAATCTACAAATTGTGAATCACATTGGAATATGTGTTCTGCGGAAGAGAGTACAAGGAGTTTTTACAAGAAAATACAAGGAACTTCAATATAATTTCACTGATTTGTTGACATTTAGGCAATGGTTACAAACTTGGCTGAGGATACATCTGATTGGTAGATTACATAGGTTTCCAAAATGGTTTTTAATTTACAAAGTAATCATTACATTGAGTACATCTGGCTTTGAAACAATCATGATACCTTTCTTGCACGATTGAATAAGCATCTGTTCTAAGAATTGTTTTGAACTAGGTTTCTAAGCAGGATGTATTCTTAAGCAAGCAAAACTCTTAAGCAAGCAAAATCACATTCTTCTCTAAAATTATTTATGAAGTCATTCCCCCAGGGTACATTGGAGAGTTATAGAAACAACAGGCTGCACACTTGATGCAGAAGTTACTTATGATTTAAAATGGAGTTTTGGCCTCAGACCTTTACATATTTGGTGGTGGTGGTGGTGGCTATGTGCCGTGGAGTCAGTTCTGATTCACAGCGACCCTGCACAGGG